TCTGAGCCTTCCTAAAGGTCTGACTCCAAACTCTGTTCCCCGAAAGTGAGAGGCACTCAGAGACCGGCACATGTCATGCGAGCATTGTTCATTTGTCAGCCTAATGATCACCAGGCTGAGGTCTTGCTTAAAGAACATGGCCCCAGGTTGAATTATGTCTGAAGCATAGACTTCTGGTCTGCTTGGAACCTACAGGCCTCTCACTGGGCACCTGACCACCAGCCCCAAAACTGCTGTTGGGGGCCTGCAAGGACATCTAAGAGGCTGTTGTTGGGGGCCCTGCCCTTTGTGAGACTCAAGAGGTCCATCCAAATGTCAGTACCCATGGAGGTGGTGCAAACAGAAACCAATGGCCAGGAAGAAATGGTCCTGTGGAAATCTAAGGAAGTGTGTGCCATCGATAGCTTCTAACCTGACAGGACAGCCGCACCCATTTTTCCTTAGAGGCAACTTGAAGGACCAAGAAAACAGCTACATGTGCCTACTTAGTCTCAAGAAAGGACTGGGAAACATCAAAATATAAAAAGGTTTGAAGCAGGGTAGGGAGTAGATCCTGAGAACCTGGTTGCCCAAACTTAATTCCAGAACAGCAGGAGCCCAGCTTCCATAGTCTCCCCCAATTTGGGGGTGCCCTTTTCAGTAGAGTTCCTTCATGAAGCAGATGCCTGCCAGGGCTCCCTGTCAGAGGCTGGGCCTGAGATAGCTGACCTCTCCCTGCCACAGGCCTTCCCTATGGCCCTGGCTGTGGCAAGACTGGGAGATCTGGAAGACTGGCCAGGTCACTACAGTCTAAGCTCCAGGTGTGTGAGAGCTGGTGTAGCTTTCCTTCTTAGGGTAACCTCAAGCCCTGCTGCTTCTGAAACTGGGTCAGCCTCTAGAGAACCTTCTAGACAATCAGAGACCCCAATGAGATACAAGTGGTGGTTTCTCCCTAGAGCAGCATGTCTCAACCCTTTTGGGGGTGGAATAACCATTCCACAGGGTTTGCTTATCAGATATTTACATTACAATTCACAACAGTAGCAAAATTATAATTTTGAAGTAGCAATGAAATGATTTTATGGTTGGGGGCAGTCACCTAAACATGAGGAACTGTATTAAAGGGTCATAGCATTAGGAAGGCTGAGAACCACTGCCCTAATGAAGCACCCATTCAAAGTTACTCAAATGTATAGAAGTTTTCCATTTCTACCCATTTGCCAATCTACTGAATCTGTTCATGGTTCCCAGACATTCTCAAGACCTTGCCCTAATTAGCATTCCTCTGGGAGTGTGTGAGACTTTCCACATGAGGTCCACGGTCCCTATGTGAAGACTACTACTGCTCTCTAACACACCCTGATGGGTGACCTGGACAGTCACCCATCTGCTAGAGGCAGAGGTCTGGATCTAATGGTTTTAAAGACTTGGACAACACTTAACTCATAGTAGGTATCCCACAAATGTGTGTTGAATGAAGAAGCAAAAGGATTCCATGTGATCTATAATACTGCATCTCTGTTTTTATACTTCATACAAGTGCTCTTAATTCATAGCGTCAAGCCCCTTAATTCATAGCATCATTATATCCAGCATTAAGGGGGGTCTGTGAGATGGCTCAATGGGTAAAGGTGCTTGCCACTAAGTTCAGGACCCAGGTGATAGGAGACAACCAGCTCTCACATGCATGAGCCTGCAGGCACACACACACACACACACACACACACACACACACACACGATGGTCTTTTGTAAGGAAGTGGAGGAGGCACACAAGGTCAGGCCTTCTGAATTCTCTGCCCTGTGTTTCTTACCTCGTGAGAGACCTACTACCACCCCAGTAATTTTCCCAAGTCACTGGGCACTGCTGTGTAGCCAAGGCTGCCATGGGGATTTTTGAGAGAGCCAAAGAGGAGCAAGGAAGTAGACTTCAGTCCATATTCACTCCCCATACTGAGAGGAAAGGAGCCAAGACACTAGGTCGGCCCTTCTCGTGAGGTATAACGGCAGGCAGCATGTCCTCTACAGTCCTCAAGTCCCCTGGGCCTTGTTGAGACAGACCCAGCTTTGTCACTTCGCAGGGATTCTTGGCCTGCTTTCTCTCCCCAAGAGAAGAAGGAGGAGAGCCAGCCACATCCAAAGGCCCCATATGGGCATCTCCAGACATGGGCTGGGGGCTGGGGGCCTAAGCCAGAGGGTCCAGAAAGAGGTCCAAAGCCAGGCACAAGAGTTTGGTCTCCCCAGATGTCTCTGGCAGTTGGGCCACCTGACATGCCAACTGAGGCAGGAGTGGCTGTGTGGGAGGCCTGGGTACAGGGGGAGGGAACTCCTACCCCCGCCCAGGCCTTGGAGCATTTGAAAGGCAAATGTGCTGGGTTGCCTAGGGAACAGGAGAAAAGGGACTTCCCTAGCACCGGTGACTAGTAAGGGATGGAGACGGGGAGCTGTGATGCTGAGAAAATTGTTTCCAAAAAAAAAGTAAAAAGCAGTGACTAAGCAGGCCTGGTTATGTAAAGCGATCCCTGAGGAAGTGTGGGGAAAAGCCTTGGACCCACCCCCGTGTCCCTCCTCCCCACTCCCAGCCCCGTGCCTGGGAGTTTCCATCAGCCCCGGCCCCCTCCTATTCTCCCGGAACTCCTAACTCCTCCACAGGACTGACAAGAGAGGCCGCCCACCTGCTGAGGGCAACCCAACATGGTGGGCAAGGCAAAGAACCGAAAAGGGATCGCCATGCCCCACTACGTACCCCACCAGACAGTGGTGGTTCTGGGAACTCTGTCCCTCCACCGGAGGTCAGCCCAACGGGGAGTAAGGGGTTATTTACTTACCATCCCAGGGTCAAGGGCTGCCTTCTCAGAAAACACAAACCCAGGTTTGATGCCCAACACTGCTGTTTGCTCTCTGTGAGACTTTGGGGGAATGTTCTCAGACTTTGAGCTGGGTGGTTCCTTTGCCTGAAGATGTAGGGGGTACCCAGAAGGCTGCTAGGGTAACTCGCTAGGATGACTTAAGGGCAGCATGGCACGAAGGGAGGTATTTCCTCCATGCCAAGGGAGAAACCACAGGGAATGCGGGTCATGCTTGGGACCTGAGAAATGTACCCAACACTTGAGCTTCCTCCATCCATGTTTCTCCAGCTGAAGGTTCCCAACCACCCAGTAGACATGTGGCTGGGTGGACCAACCCTAACCCTAACCCTTCAGGCCCAAAAGTTCCCACCTGGGGATCTGCCTCTCTTCTCAAAAGAATCTTCTCAAGAGGCCTTAAAAGATTGATGAAATGTTATGTCAGACCCCCAAATCCCTCACTGGGGCTCAGGAAGGGCCACAAATGCCTCAGTTCCCCCTGCTACGCATTTTGCCATCTTATAAAAGGAGACTCCTCCGATCAAGTAGTTTCGTTTTTTAAAGATGTATCTTGTTTTTAATCATGTGTATGTGAAGGCAGTAGGTTTGTTGCCATGAATGCAGAGGTCCCCGGACTCTAGAACTATCAGATGCCCAGGTCCTAGAGTTACGGGCAGTTTGTAAGCTGCCTGATGTGCGTGCTTGCAATCGAACTCAGGTCCTCTGGAAGAGCAGCGCATGCTCCTAATCACTAAGCCATCTCTCTAGTCTTGGACAAATGTATTACAAGGCATGGGCTGCCCTGGACTTTACAGGAAAGGTCTGGAAAACAAGGGCTTTTGCCACGAGGAAGGTGACTATAATCCATACCCCGCCTCCAGCTGAAAAAGTCAAGACTCCCTAGAGACTGCCCTGGTGCTGTGCCCAGCCAGTCCTCTTCAAGAATGCATCTTACATGTCCCCCGGTGGGCTAGTTTAAGCCCTGGTCCCTCTCCTTGGTTCTCTCTGGGAAAGGGAAGCAGTCCACTGCTTTCCATGTGCAAATGCCTCAAAAGAAACGGTCATGCAGGTTTGGAAACCCACCACGTATTTTCCCAGAGCCCTCTGCTGCTTTTAAAGCTTTGATTCCTGCCCTTCTCTCAGGCCTCCCCTTAACAGGGTGCCCAGGGATAAAGGGCCTGAGCTCTTAGCAGAGACTGAGGGACAAGGGCTGAGATGGCTCTACAGAGGCCCCAGCCCCCTGTCTTCTCTGATACTGTCTCTTCCCCTAAGGGCATATCTCCTTTCACTCTGCTCCAGATGAGGGTTCAAATCCAGCCTCTCCCAAGCCCAGTGAGCCAATTCTGTTTTCTTCTGGGCCCCTCAGCACCTCTTACATTTGCTACTGAACTTCAAGAGCAGGCTAAATCTCTTTTGTTGGCGACTTGGCTCTCCTGGCCCTTCCTAGTGTGAAGCCCAGGCCTGGGGATGTTTAAGCCAAACGGATACACATCTCAGTAGAGACACTGCCCAGATTCCCAAGAACTCTGCTCATAGTGGGCAAGCAGAGTGTGTGTGTGTGGGGGGGGTTTCCAGGAACCCACCCTAGCTAGCTATCTCCCTGCATGTCTAGTCTCCCCACAGAATGGGGACAGAAGGTACTTGTGACCTTTAAACTCAGGACGGCATGAAACCCACCAGCCTTAATAGTCACACATTCGTCCGACCCCACCACCTCTTAGCTAAGTGACTTTTGATATGTCACTGGCTTCTCTGTAGCTCAGATACTGTTTTTGGTTTTGGTTTTTTGGTTTTTTTTGTTTTTTGGGGTTTTTTGGTTTGTTTTTTTTGTTTGTTTGTTTGTTTTAAATTGGGGCCACCTTGGAGTTGTGAGGAGGAGTGCCTGGTCCTCAAAGAGAGAATCCAAACATGGGGTGGGTGCCTTGGACCCCACCACACGGTGTGGCCCTTTCTGTGAGGAAGCTGAGTCCCTGTGGCTCTGATTTCTGAGGACTGCACACTCTGGCCACCACCACAGGCACGTTTGCCCAGAGGCAGCTAACTGGGTGAGGAAAGCCCCTCCTCCCACCTCCCTGCCTCCCCCACCCCCTCACCTTCCCACATCTCCTCCCTAGAGGCTCATAATTGGTGTTGTGTGAGGATTAGTCACCTCACCAGCTCAACGGAGCCTCCCCCACAGCCCAGGCCCCCACACAAGCAGGCTGGCTGAATGTCTAATTGGAGTTCCTCACACCTCTGAGGACAGTCTAATGAAATGACAGAGGAATAAGTACCTGGGCAGTGTCGAGCTCTGACTCTTGGAGGGGTGCTAAGACTAACCACAGATCTTACCTTCCCAAAAAAGCCCCCTTCAGATAGCCCCAGCAGAGCTGGAAGAGAAGGGCCAGGTAGACCATCAAGAGGCTTGGAAATGAAGTTGGTACTCAGCATCCAACCAAACAATACTTCCAGAAACTTCTACCCAGGGGCCAGGGAGGAAGGTTGCTGCTTGGGCCCACCCATCACAGTAGAAGCTCCACCAACAGGCTCTTCCCCTCCCTGGATCCTCAAATGGGAGGGACCAGCTGCTGAAGGCTTGAGGAGGTCAGGGGTCTGTCCGAGGTCACAGTAAGCCACTTCCTACCAACATGCTTAGGTGTCTACTACAATGTCCCTCAGTAAGGATAATGGGGATACCTTGGAGGCAGAAAGGTCCAGGCTCAGATGGTAACTCATCTAGTTGGCTGTTAGGGACAGTTGGGATGATGATTCCAGAAGGAACAAGGTCACTTGTCACTATTTGTGTCAAGGCCAAGTAGAGGGGATAAAACAGGCACTTTATGCAAAGTTCAGAGAAATGGAAGAGGGAAGTATGGGTATGAAACTCCCAGGGGAGCAGGAGGCAGCACCCTACCCAAAGTTAGAGGCAAATGAAGAGAAGGGAACAGTGGTTATCATTCCCTTTAGGTGTGGCTGACTCAGGGCTCATTCTGTCATGACTACACTCCAAGTTAGATAGGGTGGTGGTCAGAGCACAGTGATTGGAGAGGAAAATGGGACGAGAGGGGCTGCCATGAGGGAGCCAAGCTGTCACATCCCACTGAGGGCCAGGGAAGCCAGAAAGCGAGACTCAAGCTTTGCCCACTCACCACACAGCTCCCAGCCTTGCATGTCTAATTGGATTCTCCCTCCCTCCTACAAGGTTATCCCTAGCGCCTGCCTGGAGTCTGGAAAACACCTCGTGGTCGGGTTCTCTCCTCCCGCTCAAGATGGAGGCTGGGGGCCGGGAGCACCTCTGCCATTCACATTTCCCCGTGCCCCAGCCACCACCAGCTCTGGAGCAACAGGCATGCTGTAGTAGCAACATCAGAGGACCCTGGGAGCAACATGACTGGGGAGGCGTTCCCTGGTTGTCTTCGGGTTGTTACAGGCAGAGCCTGTCCAATGTAGCTCGACAGATGCCTCGACAGATGAGGGTCCTGCACAGCCAACCTCGTCCCTATCCATCCTTGACTTTGGTTCAAGGATTCCTCATAGTCTAGAAAGTTCTTACCCACCACCTCCCCCAATGCAGTACAAATCCTACCTGTGGCTTAAGCTACCCAGGTACCCAAGCTTGCAGTCATTCCTAACATCATTTAGCAGTGTAATGTTAGCCCAGCTGTTCTCCAACCTCCTGACTAGGGGGATTTCCCTCTGGGAAGTACTGCCAAGGGGAAGGATCATGCCTTGCTGTGGCTGGGCTTGGAGAAATATCTCAGTCCTGAATAGCTCATCTGTCCTGGTCCCTGAGGGTCAGGGGTGAAATATTATAGTTTGAATGTAAAATATCTCCTACCATAAGCTGCGGTGTGAACACCTGTTTGGGGGAGCTCTGGGACCTTTAGGGTAGGAGATGTGGCTGGTAGAGGCGGTCCCTGGGTACAGATCGTTTGGGGTTATAGTCTAGTCCCATTTCCAACCAGAGCTCTCTGCCTCTGCCTCTGCCTCTACCTCTGAACCACAAGATGTGAAAAAGTCACACCACCAATCCCTTCCACTCTAGCTGGCAGGTCTTCCCTCCCATGATGGGGCAGTACCCTCTTTAATATGAGTCAAAACAAATTCTTTCTCCCTTAAAACAAGGGCGGGTACCATTTAGCTCACATCTTGGGCAGCGAAAAAGAGATGATGAGGAGGTATGTCTCCCTCCCCAGAGATGCTTTTCTTTCGTCAGTGAGTTCCTAGAGGGAGTGCTGATGTCATCTGTGGGAGCCACATAACACATAGAATCACATGTCGCAGGTGCTTGGGAAAAGAGTGTAGGAAGTGCCATAGCACTGTCCCTCACCTCGTGGTCCAGAGTGTTCTTCACATCGGCTGAAGAGGACTCAAGATGAGCTCCACGGTTCCTTGGCCTGTGTCTGAATTCAGTCCACCATTGTCACTCTAGCATTTCCCACAAACATCTGCTCTGAGGAAGGACTGCCTCTCTTCTCAGAGATAACTTACATATAACCCGACGTTACCAACTTAATGTTCCCAAAGTGAAGTGAAGATGCCTCACCCTCTCCAAGTCCTCTGCTTTTGGCCTCCTCTGGTCCCCTCTAGCTCCTTGCTCTCCAACCTCTACTTTAGCCCTCCCCTCTAAGCTACTACCTGTATTTCCTTTTTCTATCAAGTGAGGGGCAAGGGACAGAGTGGATGCAGTGACTAGTACAGGTGCACCTCCCCTGGCTCCTTATCTTGTGGGCACTGAACTCAAAACCCCGACAGGGCACCTTCTGAAAAATGGTCTTGTCTTCTCTGCTCCACAAGGCTCCCCTGAGGCAGCCAAGCCCTTTCCCCACCCAACCCTGTAGATGTGAGAGGTGCTACAGATTGGGGTATGGGGAGAACGGTGGAATAAAGGAGGGGTTCAGCAGAGATGAAAAGGAAGGAAGGAAGGAAGGAAGGAAGGAAGGAAGGAAGGAAGGACACAGGGAAGGTAGGGCAGAGGTTGTTGTCTGCGCTCCTCCTTGGATAATTGGTACTAGACTCCCAGCTACCCACTGGTGGCTCTGGCCCAGCCCACTTACCTGCACAATTGCCTCCTTTTTAGCCCTCTCCTTCTAGACCAGAACTCAATGGTGCTATTCTCCATTCTGCCCAACACACATCCCATTGCTCTACCAGACTTGCCTCCCTGGTACCCATTATAACCTATCCTAGTTGTGCCCACATGCCATCCTTCAAGGGAGCATGAAGCCACTTGCCAACCCTTCCATACTCAGCAGGGCTCCACACCGGGGCATCTCAGAAGAGGAGGCGCTGGTTAGCACGGGATGACTCAACCAACATCTTGGATGCCTTGGTCAGAAAAACAGCCACCTGATAACCCCCCTCCCCTCTTGTATCAACCCAGCTACTTTGCTTCCCAGGTGGCCACAGGAGTATGTTTTCATCCCTTGAGAAATAAGCTGTGAATTTAGAGGAGAGGGGAGCAGACAGGGAGAGCAGCAACCTTAAGGGAAAAAAAAAAAACTCAAAATTTCAGGGCCCTAACCAATGGAGAAATGGGTAGGTGGGGTGTAAGATGGTAGTGTGGCCGGCTGAATAGAAGACCAATGGTTTGATGGCTGATTGTTAAGACTAAGAAAGGCAATGACTAGGTTAGCCCACCATCCCTGCGGCCATGCTCACTGGCCCATCAAACGTCTCACATGCAGGCACTCACACAAACCTCCTCAAAGACCATGTGAACTTACTGTCAGAAGACCGGCTCTATCTGGGTCAATGCAGATTGGTCTTTGTAGTCTAGAAAGCGCTTGTGTTTTCCTCTGTTTGTCTATGAGTAATAAGAGAACCGAGGGACAGGAAAGAAAAGGTTCACATCAGTTCCTGGGGCCCTGTGTAACCCTAAAGTGCTTCTGCGTGATCCTCAAACCAACATCTTAGGGGTGTTTTCTGCAGAGAAACCATCACCCAACTGGGGCCCCCCCACATGCTTCTTTGGAAAAGAGGTAGAGGAGGAAGTAGATCCTCTGGGCTAGTGGTGGTTGCCCCATCCTCAGACAGTCCTCCAAGTATATCAGAGACCCTTCCAGGAGTGAGCCCAGCCCACCCTGGCCATCCTCCTCAGTGGGGACAGATGCCCCAGAGGAGCAAGCTGCCAGCATCCGGAAAACCCCCCCAAGAGCCAAGGAGTCGGGCAATCCTTCCTGCCCACTCAGAAATTCCGGAAGCCCTTCCAGCCGGGAACCCGCCTCCCCAACCTCTCTCTAGCTTCCTCTGTCTGTCTCCTCCTTGCGACTCCTGCGAGTGCACAGGAGGGTTGAGGGAAGCCCCGTGCGCCTGTGATGAACGGAGCTAATTTCTGGTTTGCTGGTATGCCGCAGAGACGCTGCCTCCATCCCCCTCCCTCCAGCAAACCCTCTCCCACACACAGACAAATAGGCTGCATATTTAATTGGAATTCCTCACACCTACAGGGTAAAGCCTTGTCAGTAGAAATAGAGCCCACAGCCAGCTGGCTTCCCCCATTCCACCCACCTTGTCTCTTAAAAAGAAATCCCCCCCCCCATACGTGAACACCACCCACAGGCCCTTGCACGTCCCTCCCAGCATGGTTGTAAAGGAGGGATTGGTTGGCAAGGCTGCCTCTTGCCTGGGCTGCTACAGCTAGGCCCACCCAACAGAGACCACCCAGGGACTTCTCACCACAGACAGACCCTGGTGGCTGTCTCACTGCTAACCTTGGGAACCCCTCAACCAAAGCTCTTGAGGGCCCAGAGCCACTGAAGGATGCTGCCCAGATATTCAGGCTCCTTGATATAGGAGACCAGGTGGGTGAAAGAAGAAAGGAGTGGAGAATTCCCAAAGCTAGAAACTTCCCTTTGAAAAGCCCTTGGGACCAATCTCTCATAATCCAGGTGGGACACTGAGGCTGAGAAGGCAAAATAAAGCTTATTGTGTGGCTAACTTGATGCAGAGCTGGGCTGAACTTGGCCACCACCCCCTAGCTGTGCGACGGGTCTCTCCCAGAATGACTGAGGGAGAAAACAGACAGGACCAAAGTCAGGTGGACTTGAGAAGGAAAGCAGACAAGAGATGGGAAGGCTGTGAAAGTCAAGGTCCTGGAGTAGACCTGTAGAGGGAATTCAGAGTGGCCTGTTTCCCATGTGACCACAAGGGGAAAAACAGGGCATCAGGAGATAAAGAATGGCAGGCCTGAGATAGACTGAACTTCTAGGATAGCCTCAGGGACAACCAGTCCAGAAACACAACTGAGCACTTTAGTGGGGACAAACGGTTGAGGGATGCTCCTCCCTGCAATCATTTACAGAATGGGACTCCACCACCACCAAGCCTCGTGTGACCTCAACATCCAGGTCAGCAGTCACAGATGGCTTTGCAGCCTAAGTGCCTGCAGAAGGCTTCCTATCTTGCTGTCTTGTCCCCATGGGCCTCTTTCTTCTTTCCCTGGCTCAGACTCAGCCTGGCACAGGCCCGCGCCAAAACCGGTGTGTGTCAGCGAGTAGACAGCTGCCTAGGGGGCTCTGAAGAGCGCTGTGACATCCTGGCTCCCCCACAAAATATCATCTCAGTTTGCCTGAAAGTTCACCATTAGTGACTCATTTCTTTGGGTTAAACATAGCCCTCCCTTCTCAAATGCAGCTGCTTTGGAAAAGGAAAACTCATTGAGATCTTAGCATCCCAGTGTGAATGAGGAGCCGAGAGAGATCTGGGAGGAGGCCCAGAGGAAGGGAGGAAGTGGAAGCTGAGAAAGAGACAAAAAGGAGGAAGGAAGTTAATGGGAAAGGAAGAGGAGGCTGAAGAGAGAAGAGAAGGGTCCAGCTCCGGCCATGGCTGTTCCACAGTGAACAGAGATGCAGTGTGCTGGGATTCACAAGGGATTTTCCCACATCTCTCCTCAGCAGATCCTCACAGGTCAGGGACACTGTGGTCCATCTCTTATAGATCAAGTAACTGAAGCTTGTGGAGGCTGGAGGGCTTGTCATCTAGCCAAGGAGTTAGAAAGCCAGGACTCCACTCGGCTCACCTCTGCAGAGTCATCAAAACGCACGCAGGGAGCACCCTTCCTCCATCTCTCCCAATACCCATCTCTGGTCAGCAAAGGGAAGGACCCTGGTAGAGAAACAAGAGGGGCAAGAACGAAAAGGTGTGGGAGGGTTGAGGCAAGCAAAGAAGGTAGAGTGAGGCCCAGGCTCATGTCCTGAAGCCGTCAGCTGAGACCCCATCAAGGAGAAGGTGTTGCGGGTGAAGGCCC